AAGCTCCTTTCTCTCTCTCTCTCTCTCTCTCTCTCTCTCTCTCTCTCTCTGCCTTTCAAATAAGGTGAAAATATTTTTTGGAGAAGTAGAGTTACAGACAGTGAGAGGGAGAGGGAGAGAGAGAAAGGTGTTCCATCTGCTGGCTCACTCCCCAAATGGCCACAAAGACTGGAGCTGAGCCAATATGAAGCCAGCAGATTCCTCCAGGTCCCCCATGCAAGTGCAGGGACCAAAGCACTTGGTCCATCTTCCACTGCTTTCTCATGCCATAACAGAGAGCTAAATTGGAAGAGGATCAGCCAGGTCTCAAACCGGCACCCATACAGGATGCTGGCACCACAGGCAAAGGATTAATCTACTGATCCACAGTGCCAGCCCTGAAAATAAAAATTTTTAAAGAAAATAAAGATGTTGTCTCCGCCCTCTGTCGACCTTATCTTTGAAGCAGAGATATATTTCCAGTCATACTTTTAAAGTTGCATCCTTCCCACCAAGGTTAGTGAAACGCAGGACACAAGGCCAGGCTAAAAGAAAATGAGATCTGGGAAGATCTCAGAAACATGCTAGTACTGCTGAGTTGATTACGTGGAAGAGAGAAGCTCAATCACAGGTGTCCCTGATTCTCTTGATTGTGGAAAAAGAGAATAAAGAGAATTTGAATATCCATAAATGGAATGTCTTGAGTTAAAGCTCTCTGTCGCCTGGGAAACCTCCATCTCTTAGGAATAAGTAACAGAGACAACAATGCTGAAATTTACCCAAGTATCAAAGACACCAGGAGAGGTTATATATCTGGAGTTCACACTTCATTGCAAAGACATAATAGAGACACCCCTTGCCCTCAGCCCTTTGGTAAGGCACCCAAAGACAGAGACACAGAAGGCAGACATACAAGCACAGCCAATGAAAAGTCCAATCCCCCAGCTGTTCTGCACGGTTCTACATGTGCACCTCTCAATGTAACCCAACTAACATAAAACCATCTCTCTAAGTGATATGAAATAGAAACTGCTAGAAACTTCTAAAGGGCAGCTACATGGGCTATGAGAAACTATAAGATGAATATCTGACTAAAGGAGGTCAGCAAAGCCTTCTCTTCGGAAGGAGCTGGAGCTGACCTGTGAATGATGGGCAAGGGTTAAGTTGGAAATAGGACAGAAAGTCCCAAATAGAGGCAGTGGGCTGTGGAAAGGACCTGCGTAGGGAGAAGGGACTAGGCAAAGCCAGCGTGGCTACAGAAATAAGAGTGCGAGGTAAGGATGTCAGAAGAGAGAAACGATAAAGAATTCTCTGCCACATTTCCTCCATGATGCTTTATTGCTAGGACGGGGTCCTGATCAGATGCAAAGGCCCTGCGTTCTCGGTTATCCTCTCAGGGTGGAATCCACAGAAGAGTTAAAATTCACAACACTTTTCCTAAGAGGTGTAGGAGGGGCTTCAAATAGTTCATGGGGAAAGTAGAATTAAAAGTTCATATTTGGAGTAAACACATTTTTTTAAACTTTTATTTAATGCATATAATTTTCCAAAGTACGACTTATGGATTACAATGGCTTCCCCCCCATACCGTCCCTCCCACCCACAACCCTCCCCTTTCCCACTCCCTCTCCCCTTCCATTCACATCATGATTCATTTTCGATTATCTTAATATACAGAAGATCAGCTTAGTATACATTAAGTATGGATTTCAACAGTTTGCTCCCACACAGAAACATAAAGTGAAAAATAATAGATGATTTTTTTAAATGATGATGAAATCAGAGCAGACCTATTGTCATGTTTAATCCCAGTGAGAGTCAAGTTGGGAATTGATAATTTCTTTTTTTTTTTTTCTTTTTTTTTTTCTTTTTTTTTACAGAGGATCAGTTTAGTATGCATTAAGTAAGGATTTCAACAGTTTGCACCCCCATAGAAACACAAAGTGAAATATATTGTTTGAGTACTCGTTATAGCATTAAATCTCAATGTACAGCACATTAAGGATAGAGATCCTACATGAGGAGTAAGTGCACAGTGACTCCTGTTGTTGACTTTACCAATTGACACTCCTGTCTATGGCATCAGTAATCTCCCTATGCTCCAGTCATGAGTTTCCAAGGCTATGGAAGCCCTCTGAGTTCTCCGACTCTTATCTTGTTTAGACAAGGTCATAGTCAAAGTGGAGGTTCTCTCCTCCCTTCAGAGAAAGGTACCTCCTTCTTTGATGACCTGTTCTTTCCACTGGGATCTCACTCGCAGAGATCTTTTGCCAGAGTGTCTTGGCTTTCCATGCCTGAAATACTCTCATGAGCTTTTCAGCCAGCTCCGAATGCCTTTAGGGCTGATTCTGAGGCCAGAGTGCTATTTAGGACATCTGCCATTCTATGAGTCTGCTGAGTATCTCACTTCCCATGTTGGATCACTCTCCCCTTTATTTATTCCATCGGTTAGTGTTAGCAGGTACTAGACTTGTTTATGTGTTCCCTTTGACTCCCAGTCCCTTCACCATGACCAACTGTGAACTGAAACTGATCACCTGGAACAGTGAGATGGCATTGGTACATGACACCTCGATGGGATTGAATTGGAATCCCCTGGTATGCTTCCAACTCCACCACTTGGGGCAAGTCAGCCTGAGCATGTCCCAAATTATACATCTCTTCCCTCTCCCATTCCCACCACCATGTTCAACAGGGATCACATTTCAGTTAATTTTCAACACTTAAGAATAACTGTGCATCAATTACAGAAATTACTACAAGGACTTGTATGCCAGCAAACAGGGAAACCTATCAGAAATGGATAGATTCCTGGACACATGCAACCTGCCTAAATTGAACCAGGAAGACATCGAAAACCTAAACAGACCCATAACTGAGACAGAAATTGAAACAGTAATAAAGGCCCTCCCAACAAAGAAAAGCCCAGGACCAGATGGATTCACTGCTGAATTCTACCAGACGTTTAAAGAAGAACTAACTCCAATTCTTCTCAAACTATTCAGAACAATCGAAGAAGAGGGAGTCCTCCCAAATTCTTTCTATGAAGCCAGCATCACCTTAATTCCTAAGCCAGAGAAAGATGCAGCACTGAAAGAGAATTACAGACCAATATCCCTGATGAACATAGATGCAAAAATCCTCAATAAAATTCTCGCCAATAGGAGTAAACACATTTTTAAATTCAGACATAGTTTTTTTCATAATATTCATTTTCCATGAACTTTTTGAAGACCCTTTCCATGCATGGATTTTAAAAATTTTGCACCAAAATAAACATCTTTTCATTCATTCTATTTTTCCATTAACTTTTCGAAGGATTCCTTGTACATTCCTAGGCAATACTTCTTTCCAACTAAAACTTACAGACTGTAGTATATATTTACTGACTGCACTGGTTTCCACTGTCTGAATATATGCATCTCAACTTCAAAAAATGTACAGAGATGTGAGTTTCAGGTTTTGCAAAACTATTGAACCAATACAGCTATACATGACTTATATGTGTGCACACACTGACTCAAACATTCAACCCTATTTCAGAGTAAACTTTGGAATATTAAATCTTCAAAAATAATTATTTGTCAAACTATATTCAGAAAATGTGTTTTTGTTTTTCAGTACCTTACAAAACAGTGATTCAAAGACCAGTATTTTTCAACTTTATGAATATTCTAGGTGTTTATTTTTTCTATTAATAACAATGGAAGAAAAATCTAAGCAGAAAGAATGAGAATATTGCCTTTTTAATAATAGATATGTTTTCAAAGTGGCAGTCTCATCCTAATATTATGAAAGCTCTAGAGCCATGACCTCCGTCTCCTGATACCTAGTCCAGCATTCTTGGCATTTCAGGTCTTGCTCAATATTTCTGGAAGCTAAAGGCAAAAATCTGTCAATTCAACCCAGTCAGAGCTGACCTATGTCTTGACTTTTGAATATTACAAAATGAAGAGGAAACCAAAGAACACAGACTCCCTCTGGAGACACAGAAGGTCAGGGCCAAGAAGCAAGACAGAAAGGATCAATTCTCAGCAAGCTGGATCTTCACCGGAAACTGCTGAGTTTCCACTTGCCAGTGATTCCTGTGCTCACACCCACAACCAGTCTGGGGGTGTTCAGTCCCACACCTGCAGAAATTATCCATCCATTACCAGAATCTTCCTTGGACTAACGTTTTTAAAACACAGCAAATGAAATTTGCCAATATGTGCATATGCAGATTGTTCTGATTTCATTGAAATCTGAGAGCATTTTAATAATGAGAGAATCATAATTGGTAATGGTAAAACCTTAAGAACTTTTGGCCTGAATATCATAGGCATATTGGAAAAAGCATCTTCAAATACTGTTTCCCTCTTCACATCACCAATATCATAAACACCTTTAATTTATCTTAAGTGAAAAAAATGCTTTTTTGCAAGCTACAAATGAGATTCAGCCACATAAAATAATAATGACCTTGATCAGATAGTGCAACAAAACTATTAACATTCATGGATTTAGACTAAATATATAGAAGATCTACATTTCACAGAAAACGTGAATTAACTCAAGACCATTTAATTGTAGATGGAAAATATTAGAAACAGTTAAAGATATTGATTTCCATAGGTAATGGCAATGTGGCGACCAGAAACAGAAATTCAAGAGAAGGAAACAAGGCTACAGATGTGGGATTCATTCCAGCTGAATATTGTAATGAGGAAGAACAATTCCATTTTACCATTTAGTCCTTTTGGTCAGTTAAAAATGATAGCATTCTTTTTTCTTAACTGTGGCTTAATCCCTTAAGCAATGACAAATAGCACATAGTCATTAATATGATCTGAACAGTTCATTCTACTCCATTCTATCTGTTTGAGTAAAATAGTTATTGATGGCAATCTGTGATTTAAACAAAATACAAAACAGAATCAGAATACTGAAGTTTGTATGAACATCTAAGCCTGTCTAATTCAAGCCTCTGAATTTCCAGATGAATTAAATGTGACACGGAGGACGAAAAGAAAATTACTTACTGTTAAGGACACAGTCAAGAATGGTGACTCTAACACATTGAATTTCAAGTTCGTTGTGGTTCAACTTCACTTCCTCAGTTCTGAAAAGAGCAAAGCAACACAAAACAAGATTAGCAATATAATGAAAATCACCAACCATCACTGGTCTTCCTGGTTCACTCTGGCTTCTCCTTGGTTCTCCACAGAGCAGCAAGAAAGAACAATTTGACATACAAGTCAGAACCCATCAGAGACCTGCTTAAAGGCCAGGCACCCATGAGCTTACACAGGAAAAGTTCATCTTCATTAGATTTTACTGCCTCTGCTTAAAATCTAGCATCTCCTTCAGCTGTGAATACAGGCAGCAGAGAAAGCTGTTTGAGCAGTACCCAGAACCTACATGCTAATAGCAATCACAGACAGTTAGACATCAAATTATAGTTTCTGCTGATGTTTTGAAATTATATTTATTTTTTAAAGATTTATTTATTTATTTATTTGGAAGTCAGAGTTATACAGAGAGAGAAGGAGAGGCAGGGAGAGAGAGGTCTTCCAACCACTGGTTCACTCCCCAACTGGCACAACAGCCAGAGATATGCCGATCCGAAGCCAGGAGCTTCTCTCAGGTCTCCCACGTGGGCGCAGGGGCCCCAGGACTTGGGCCATCATCTGCTTTTCCAGGCCACAGCAGAGAGCTGGATTGCAAGTGGAGCAGCCAGGACTAGAACCAGCACCCATATGGGATGCTCGCACTGTAGGCAGCGGCTTTACCCACTGCACCACAATGCCAGCCCCTATATTTATTCTTGTGTGTCATTTAAAATTAAAGCTACTTGGGTGTGAATGGTATAGTGTCTAAGAAGCCACTTGGACACCTTTATCCTGTATCAGAGTGCCAGAGTTTAAGTCTCATCTCTACTTTCAATTCCATCTTCCTAAAAACATACAACCTGGGAGACAAGAGGTGACAGCTCAAGTATTTGAGTTCCTGCCACCCGTGTACAAGATTCAGAATGAGTTCCTGGCTCCCAGCCTCAATCCCAGCATCTTATGGAGTGAACCATAAGATGGAAAATCTCTTTCTCTGCCTTTCAAATAAATAAACAAATAAAATTCAAATTACAGTAGTCTTGAGACTGACTTCTATATCATGTTGTTTACTGTGTTAGTACAGAAGCTCACAATACAGATTTTATAATATTTTGATAACTGTGCTATCATACCATTTCATAAAATATATTTGTGAAGTATATTTATATCACTATATATAATTTTATGTTTATATACAATTAATTATAATTTCATAAAAATGATATTTTCATTATAAAAGCATTTCCATTGCATTCAATTTCCTTTTGAACCATGTATCTTTTATTTTATGCCCTCAAAAATATTCTCTGAGGCTGGCATTGTGGTGCAGCAGGTAAAGCCACAGCCTGCAACACCAGCATCCATATGGGCTTTGTTTGGAGTCCTAGCCTCTCCACTTCTGATCCAGCTGCCAGCTAACACACCTGGGAAAGCAGCAGAGGATGGCCCAAGTACTTGGGCCCATGCCTCATATGGGAGACCCTGAAGAAGTGTCCAGCTCCTGGCTTCCGACCAGCCCAGCTCCAGCCATTGCAGCCATTTGGGAAGTAACCAGCAGATGGAAGAACTCTCTCCCTCTCCCTCACCTTCACACTCTCACTCACCCTCTCCCCTCTCCCCTCTTCCCCCACCCCGTAACTCTGCCTCTCAAATAAATAAATCTTTTTAAAAATAAATCGTCTGGGAAAATATCTAAGGATTCCACCATCCTGTCCAGGGGGTCCTGTGTATAACAATGTTTAGGAGCTCTGCTCAGTGGCCTTGGCCAATCTCACACTGAGCTCTGGGCCCTAATCCAGGCCCCTCCCAGGCCTGACCATACCTCATTAAATAGCCTCAGCACAACTTCTACCCCAAGAAGTTTCCCTGGGCCCCTCTTCCACATCCCCTAGACTAGGGGTTGGCACATATTTTCTGTTAACTATGAACATCTAGGTGATAAATATTTTAGAATTTGCAGTTTGTTACTCTTCTGCCAACGTTCTGGCAACACAACCACAGATTGTATGAACCAACAAGCTCCACTATGGCCCAATCTTGCTCAGGGAAACAGGTTCCAGCTAGACTCACTCTCAGGCTACACCCTGATCTGCAACCTTCAGAGAGCTCAGAATGCTATCATCTTCTTTGTGCCCTTGTCTACCAAATTCCTGCCCATACAGAAGGAGTCTTTCATGAGTGAGCATGAACTTTGACTCTGCTTATCTCTCAGTAATGGTGCAGTGCCTACAACAACTGCCAGTAGTTTGCTGAATGAATAAAAAAGTGAAGGCACCTGGACTCCCAGGAGAGCAGACTATGGTCAGTTTTTTAAAACAAATACACAAAAAAGACTTGAAAGCTTTTCTTGGTTGCTACCATAAACCTTATTCTCAAATCACAGGAAAGCAGACAGGGTAGCCAAGGATTCCTCCAGCGGGACTCCTCTCCAACTCCCATTTTGCTATAATTATCTCTAAAACCACTGAATTGCAGACAGTAGACAAGGTACACAGACAAGGAGCTCCATAGTTTTTCCCTTTGGGGCTTTCTCTTTTATTTAAAGCTGAGATATCAAATGTAATTCAGTCTGACTAATCTCGTGCAAGATGATCTCAGGAGACATACAGAGTAAGTCCTCTGTACATATCAGGTGAACTAGCTGAATTAAGAACATGGACTTCAGGGGCCGGTGCCATGGCTCACCTGGCTAATCAACCACTTTGGCGCCGGCATCCCATATGGGCACCAGGTTCTAGTCCCAGTTGCTCCTTTTCCAGTCCAGCTCTCTGCTGTGGCCCGGGAAGGCAGTGACGGATGGCCCAGGTGTTTGGGCCCCTGCCGCATGGGAGACCAGGAAGAAGCACCTGGCTCCTGGCTTTGGATCTGTGCCGCGCCGGCCATGGCAGCCATTTGGGGAGTGAACCAACGGAAGGAAGACCTTTCTCTCTGTCTCTCTCTCACTGTCTAACTCTATCTGTCAAATAAAAAAAAAAGAACATGGACTTCAGAAACCTCAGAAAACACTTATAACCAAATATCATTTTGAGGCCGAGTGACCCACCTTTCACTCAGTACAGATTTCCAAAATGATATTTAGCTTGTTCATTAATTAAAATATCCACAAAATTATACCCATTTTCTCATTCAATCAGGTAGCTATTCTACATAATCACATATCTCTTAGTTATAAATTTGGTTATTACAAGTTAATGAAGTGAATATCATCTTTAATCTTCTATTTTTATATTTTAACATTCACTTTTGTCCGCCTATCATTAAAGTGAGACCTTTATAAAGATCTGTTTAAACACTGAAGCCCAATTCTAATGAAGGACTACATGATGAATAATTCTACACATTGGGAATGTATCCCAACAACGGTAACATCTTCCATTTACATGCTTACTAGTTATCAACACTGCCTAATTACCTCATTTGGTATTTACAAAAACCCTGTGATATAATCAAAAAAGAATTATGATGCCCACTTCTCAGATAGAAAACTGAGACTCTGTTAAGGTAGTCAGACAAGTTCATATTTTGTTGAGCAAGAGCTGACCAGAGCCCAGACCTGCTGTACCTGATTCCTTCATACGGTCTGCCTACTCCTTAACAGCACTGCCTGAGATAAGACCTGGAGCACGTGAGCGACAGGAAGATGCACACTGTGCAGGAAAGCTCAGTTCCCTCAATAAGGTCACCAAGCATTCACAATTACTAAAGCAGGACAGAAAGGACCAGACACCAGAAATACCAGAATTTCTAAGTAAATAACACAAAGATACATGGAACATTCCCAAATACTTCAGATATTTCAAAAGTAAGCAACTGTCTTCTGAATAACCCTAGGTAAAAAGAGATCACAAGAAAGCTAAAAGATGTTTCCAATTAATTAAAAATAAAATACACCATATCAAATGTGTGGGACATAACAAAGTGAGTGATTAGAAGGAAATTTATAGAATTAAATGCTAATGTAACAAAAGAAGAAAGGTCTCAAATTAATTATCTATATTTCTCCCTTAAGAAAATAGCAACAACTCTGACCTCAAAGTCAGCTCTTAATGCATTCTGGTCTAGCTGAATAGCCCATGAGAGCATTTCAGGCATGGAAAGCCAAGACACTGTGGCAAAAAAAATGTCCCACATGTAGGACCTCTGTGGATGAGACCCCAGTGAAAAAAAGTAGTCATCAAAGGAGGTACTTTTCTCTGAAGGAGAAAACTTCCACTTTGCTTATGGACTTATCTAAATATTGACGGAGTTTGTGGATTCAAAAGGCTTTTATATCCTAGGCAGCCTATGTCAAGAGCCTCGAGTGGTCACTGACGTCATACATAAGAGTGTTGTTAAATTAACAACAGGAGCCGCTGTGCACTAACTCCCCATGTAGGACCTCTGTCCTCAAAGAGCTGTATTATGAGAGTTAACAGTGAAACTTGTTCTCAAAGATTTATTTCATTTTAGTGTATAAAATGTAGGATATTTTATGTCTCATAATTTTTAGTTATGCCTAAGTGTACAACTCCATCACTTGTTTTTGTAGGTACCTCCTTAATTAATGATAAAACTCATTCTCAAGGACTTATTTTCTTTTAACGTATTAAGTGGAGGGTATTCTTATGTCTCATAAATTATAGTTATGTCTAAGTGCTCACAAAAGATGTATCATTCTAGAGTACTTCTTTAAAGTCAATTAAGTTTCAAAAAAAAACGGAAGAAGTGAAATTAACTTTGAGATGCAATGACTTTGAATGGCTCTTGTCTCGACTGTTGAGGAACAATTTTGTGTGCATATGTGTGTGTGTGTGCAAATTGTTGAACTCTTTACTGAGTGCAGAGTTGGTCTTCTGTGTATAAAATTAATTGGAAATGGATCCTACTGGAGAATAGGACTGGGAATGGGAGAGGGAGGAAGAGGAGAGGTGGGAGGGCAATATGGTGGGAAGAATGACTAACTATATTCCTAAATTTGTGCTTACGAAATGCATGAAGTTTGTATCCCTTAAATAAAAGGTTTCTTTGGGGG